CTGCGCCACCAGGGAGGGCCCTTTAGTCAACCTTTTATCTTCGGATCTCAGAGTTGAAATCTAATCACATTCCATTTTTAAGGGAAGCTCTCAAAAATTTACACTCTGATTTTGAGTAAATAATTATGCTCAAAAATAGATATGGAAAAACTAGAACAGTGCTTATGAGAAAACTGGACTAATTATAATTAAGAAAGAAGTAATTGCATTCATAGGAAGTCATATGTTTGTAAAAGTTTTCCTGTAGGAGAGGGAAGTAAACTTAGTGTTTGCTTTGGCTAGGAGTGAAGTTGAGAAAGATATGAAATCAGGGAATAGGAAGTGAGTAATTAACAATGAAATAAGACAATAGGATAAAAAGGATAATTCATAGTTAAGGAATGTTAAGAAACAATGTTATTGTGATTTTTTTTTTTGGATTGTCTATTCGTATTTTGTTGTTAAATTTTATGAGTTCTTTATGTATTTGTATATGCAACTATTTTTTCACAATCTGTAGGGTATCTTTTGGTTTTGATGATTGTTTCTTTCTTTGTGAAAGCCTTTTAGTTTCATGTAGCCCCAGTTGTTTGTTTTTGCTTTGTTTCATTGCTCTTGGATTTGACTCTCCTAAGGCCAATATCATGGCATGTACCACCTGCATTTTCTTATCTCTATTTTTAATTTTCAGGCTGAATCCATTTTTGATTGTTTGTGTTAGATTGTAGTCTAGTATCTTTTGTTGGTGATTGTCTAGTTTTACTAATGCCATCTGCAGAAAAGACATTACTTCCTCCTTTGTGTGAACTGTTGGTTCCTTTGTCATAAGTTAGTTGTCCACATCCTTGTGCTTTTATTTCTTGACTATCCTTTTCTCTTGTTTTCTTTGTCTATTTTTATTCCAATATAAGGCTGTTTTGATAACTGTTGCTTTGTAGCATTGTTTGACATTGGGGAGTATGATACCTGCATTATTATCCCCCTCCCCCACCAGATTGTTTTCACTATTCAGGGTCTTTTGTAGTTCCCAATAAATTTCATGGTTTATTTTTGGTTTTGTTCTATTTCTGTGGAAAATGCCATTGGGATTTTAATAGGGATTGCATTGAATCTGTTTATTGATTCTTCTGATCATTGAGCATAAAATTTTCCATTTTATATATTTTTGGTTTTCTGTTTCTTTCATCAATTTCTTATATTTTCAAGTTAAATTTATTTTAGTCATTTAATTCTTTTTGGTACTATTATACATGAAGTTATTATATATGAGATTATTTTCCCAGTTTCTACTGGTTAGTTATTTACATTCAGAAATGCAACATAATTTTTTTGTATTAGTTTGTAGTCTGCTATTTTTTTACTGTATTAGTTTACTATTTTGAATAGCTTTGAGTTTTTGGCATTTTCTATCTATATTATGTTATCTTCATATAGTGATAGTTTTACTTTTCCCTTTCAATTTGGGCAGCTTTTATATCAATTTCTTATTTAAATGCTCTAGCCAGGATGTCTATATTGAGTAATATGAAGCTAGATATTTTTAACTTTTTCCTGACCTTAGAGAAAATGTTTTTTTATTGAATATTATGCTGACTGTGGGTTTGTCACAATTGTTATAACTTCTCTTTTGTTTTTGACTTTATATTTGTGTTTGTTTTCTTTGTGTCTGCCTAATGGCTTTTGTTTTGTTTATTTTATCAAAGAACCAAATGAAATATTGTTTTCTTTTTAATTTTATTTTAGTATTCTAATGAAGTTAAATATTTTTACTTGGTGATTTGACCATCTATGATTATAATAAAAATCATAAATGACCATAATAAAGGTTATATGTGACCTCTACTATGTTGAATCTTTTAGATGCTTTTCCTGCATCTATTAAGATGCTCACATATTCCTATCCTGCCTTTTGTTGTTATGGGTATATCATACTTATTGATTAGTATATGTTGAACAGTCCTTGCAGCCCAGAAATAAAACCCACTTGATCTTGTAATGTATTGTTGAGTTCATTTTTGCTGGTATTTTGTTGAGTATTTATCTGTTTTCATCAGAGATCATGGTATATTGTTTGTCTGCATGTGTGTGTATGTGACATATTCTCTGGCTGTAGAATTAGGGAAGTGTTGGTGTCATAAGATGTATTTGGAAGTTTTCCCTCCTTTTTGATTTTGTTTGAAGATTTTGAGGTTAGATATTAATTCTTTGAAAATTTAGTAGAATTTACTGGTAAGGCCATCTTGTCTTGGGGTTTAGTATTTTGGGAGATCCTCATGATGTACTTGTTCAGATTTTCTGTTTTTTCTTGATTCAGTTTTGTATTTTTCTAAGAACTTGTTCAGTTCTTAGATTGCTCCATTTGTTGCCATGTAGGCATTCACAATATTCCTTTATGATCCTTTGTATTTCTGTCATGGCTATTATCATTTCTCTTGTTTCTAATTTTGTATGTTTCTTTTCTCTTCTTTGAATCTGTCTAATGGTTTGTCCATTTTGTTTAGTTTTACAAAGAATCAATTGAGCTTTTAAAAAGAATTTTCTGTTGTTTTTTTTTAAAGAGATTTATTTGGGTACAAGATTGGGGTACAAATCAGAGGTGTGTGCGTGGGGGTTGAGGGTGAGAGGATTCACTAGAGACAGAGTAGGGAACAGAACAGGCAGATTCACTGAAGTACACTGCTGAGGGGAGCAGTGGGTGGGTCAGGAGAGGTCTGCCATGCCATGCTCTTTAGCTGGGAATCCAACTGGTGCTGCAGTGGCTGTAGATAACTTCGTAGTGCTGTACTTTAACCCCTTGTGCCATCAAGGAGGCCCCAGAATTTTTTGTTTAATTTTATTTTAGTTAAAATTTTTTACATTGGTATACATTTTAATAAAGTATAGACTAACCATTCTTTCTAATTCCATTTCATTAATTTTTTGAGTTGTTTTTTGACCTCTTTTGTTTACTTTTGCGCTAGTGTTTATTATTTCCTTTTTCTACTGATTTTGACTTTCCCCCTTCTTTTTCTAGTTTCTTTAGGGTAGGTTTAGATTTTTGTTTGTGATTTTTCTTGTTTCCTAGGGTAAATCTGTACAGCTTTTGCTTTATCCTATGGTTTTAGTAATTTGTGTTTTCACATTTATTTTCCTCTGGATATTTTTTTATTTCACCTTTGATTTCTTCATTTACCCCATATTTATTCAGTAGCATATTGCTTAGTCTCTACATATTAGTAGTTTCCTCTTTGTTCTTCTTTTGAGTGCTAATGTCATAACAACTGAATAGATGTTTGAAGTGATGTTTGAAATGATTATGATATTTACAAACTTACTGAGACTTGTTTTGTGTCCCAGCACATGGTCTTTCCTTAAAAGTGTTCCATGCCACTGGAGAAAAAATTTTGTTGTTGTTATTGTTGTTTTTGTATGGGATGTTCTGTAAATATTTAGGTAGACTTATTTCAATACCCAAAAATCAAGACCCATAACTGTTTACTTCCTTGGAGATTTTGGGGACCAGTTAGCAGAGAGGAGTATAAAATGTGTAAGCACAGGTTTTCACAGAGAGGATAGGTTCTTAAAATCCTTGAATGAACAAAAGACTCATAAAGGTAGCTTCCTTAATGACTGTAGTGCACAATTTTTATTCCCATTCCTACTCTCAGTACTATTGCATAAACTGGTGAAAAGAGATTGTTGCAGAGCACCAAATTCTGCAGAAAAGATTTAAATGTGAGTCTAGTATTCTCAAATTCTTGCAGTATATATGAATTTGTTTCCTACTTGTCTTCAAAAATTAAAATCGCTAATGAGACTATCAGGAAATAGTTATAGCATAGCTGTCATAGTTACTGAGTAAAATAATAATTAAAAAATATAACATGTAGAACACACCAACATTAAATGTGTATATTTCCTACTTACACATGATGTACAAGGCTCTCTACCCTTCAAAATATTGAAAATCAGGAATTAACATAAAAGGCTTTTAAACCTTAAAGTTGGCTGAAATTTGGTACTGTGAGTCCTACTTCCTGATGGCTATGTGCTTCCTCACTGGAATCGTCCATTCACCTTGGTGTCATGTAGCTTCTCATAAGTGATAGTGAGAACATAAAAATATTAACCTATGATATATGAATGTTTGGGGAAACATTCAAATACTTGAGAGACTTTTACTATGGAAATTAAGTAAAATTTAATTCTAAATAGATCTAAGGTCTCCTGAAGGGGTGAGCTTTATGGTTTGTATTTCAAATGTAAATGATATGTTTGAAAGATACTTACACAGAAGTAATATATTGTAAAAGTATACAATCTATTATGCAATTAACTGAAATAATATTCTCTGTTCAAAATATATATATATATATATTGTTTCTTTTTTGTTAGCTTATTGTAAATGATATGTTTGAAAGATACTTACACAGAAGTAATATATTGTAAAAGTATACAATATATTATGCAATTAACTGAAATAATATTCTCTGTTCAAAATATATATATATATATATTGTTTCTTTTTTGTTAGCTTATTTTCTGTCATTGGAATCCTTTTAAATATTATACATATACTAATGAAGACATGATTTAAAAATTTTAAAGTAAATATTAATATTAATGACAGTATCTTATTGTTTATTATAGAGGCTCCAGAAACTTTAGTAATTGCAGTGCAGAGGACTTTGAGAAGTTAACTCTAAATAAAGGAGGAAACTGCCTTCTTAATATTCCAAAGCCTGATGAAGCTTATAGTGCTCCTTTCTGTGGTAATAAATTGGTAGACCCTGGAGAAGAGTGTGACTGTGGTACTCCAAAGGTCAGTTTAATTTTCAATTTTTGGCTTGTAAAAATAACCGTGGAATTTGCAAAAAGTAAATAGATTGCCTTGGGAACTTTGACATAGGACTAAAGTAAAATTCAGTGACAAAATGAGGATTGGTATTTGCCTGTGGGGGTGTGTGCCTGGGTTTGGTCATCTCCTTCCCAGAACATAACTAATGGTGTCATCTGTTTTGGTGCCCATGTTTATTCTTCTATTTTTTGCCACCTTCCACTACTTTTGATATGATTATTAGGTCACATATTTACTTTAATGAAGAAATAATTTTTTTCACTTGACTTTTTACTTAAATGCTTCCCTTATTTTGCCACTGCCTTTTCAGAAATAGATATTCTTACTATTCCAATATAATGATGGATTTTGATTTATTTAATCATTTCATTCATTAACTAGTAGGCATTTAATTATTGTAATGGATATTTATTTTGCAAACAGTGCTGCAAGGCACACCATTATACATGCCTCACATGTATGCATACAATCATTTCTCTACGATATTCACATAAGAGTAGAACTATTGAAAGTATATGTTTTTAATTTTATTAGAGTCCACCAACTTTCATATAAAAAGGCTGTGTTAGCTTGCACTTGTACTGACTATGCAGTGCAGTGGTATTCAGTGCCCCATATTGTTGCCAACACAGAATAATAAATATCTTAATTTGATGCTTGAACAAAAGGAAGATACTGTTTTAGTGTCAACCTTTTCATATGCTATACACTGTATGCATAAGTTTTGTCTGTGAATTACTCTTTTATATCCCTTGTCAGATTTCTGTTACATCTTCTTTTAGATTGATTTGTACATGATCATTTGTTTTTTTAAAAAATATATTTATTTATGCATACAGAACTGGGGTATAGGCCAGAAGTGCAGGGGTGGTGAGAGGATTCACCAGAGACAGAGTGGGGAGCAGCACAAGTGACTGATGAAGTACACTGCCCAGGGGAGCAGCGGGCGGGTCAGGAGAGGTCTGCTGCACCATGTGGATCACCTGCAGGGCAGGCGTCGAACTCATACTGAAATGGCTTTAGCTTCTTAGTGCTGTGCTTTAATCCCCTGTGCCACCAGGGAGGGCCCTCAGTTAGCCTTTTAAAAAAATTGATGAACTTTACTTTTTAGAGTAGTTTAAGGGCAAGTTAAATGGAAAGTACTGAGCGTTCCTTAATTGTTTTCCCCTCCTAGCACCCTGTTCTCCCTCACTATCTTCCTCCCCCAGGCACTGTGTTACACTGGCTATAAGTGATGGCCACATTGGCACATCAGTGTCACCCACGTCTGCAGTTTATACCATGCTTCACTCTTGGCAAGTAGGTTCATATATCATATATTTCATTAAATGGAATTAAAACTTTAAGTGAAGGCAAGTTGGCAGTAGCAGCTTCACTGCAGTTCGATCCCCTGCACCAGAGGTGATCCACACAGTGTGGCAGACCTCTCCTGACATGCCCGCTGCTCCCCTGAGCAGTGTACTTTGTCAATCTGCCCGTTCTGCTCCCCATTCTGTCTTCAGTGAATTCTCCCACTGCTCCTGCACTTCTGGCTTGTATCCCAGTTGTATATGAATAAATAAATCTTTAAAAAAAAAAAGGTCCTTTCATCATAAATAGAAGTCCCATATGAGTAATCTACTTCCTGATTCTCTACTCTTTTTAAAAAATTTATTTATTTATACATATTGATCTGGGATATAGGACAGAGGTGTGGGGGTAAGAGGATTCATCAGAGACAGAGTGGGGAGCAGAATAGGCAGATTGAAATACACTGCTGAGGGGGGCAGTGGATGGGTCAGGAGAGGCCTGCCATGCCATGTGGGTCAGCTCCATGACTAGGATTGAACTCCTGCTGTAGTGGCTGCGGTAGCTTCATAGTGCTGTGCTTTAACCCATTATGCCCCCAGGGAGGGCCCCTGATTCTCTATTCCTTGAAGAAACCCTCTGTCTTGCACAATGTTTTAGAAAACAAAATCCAAGTATAATTGAATACAGTTAAAAAATTGGATTTTGATGAGAAATCTTATCCAGAACAACTACTGTAATAGGGAGAAAACTCTGATCTCAGAAATCTGGAAATGTCTCAAATTGAAACAGAACAAGCTTTTCTTCTTTAGGGTAAAGATGAGGGCAAATAGAGATATGCAGACTCTTTTAAGGAGAAGCTGGTAAGGAAAGGAAAATTACCGGTGACGTCTTCTTAAAAAAAAATGCCTTGTGTGGTCAGCTGATTTTCAGGTCAGCTGATTAGTGGGAACCAAGTCCCATTCCCCCCTTCTTTTATTTTTTTGTGGGGACAAGCAGAATTCATGGGCCTGTAGGAAAGAGAGAAGTCATACCAAAATTAGGTGAAAACAAAGAAGAATGTTAGAAAGGACAATTGTGAGCATTTGTTGAATGATAAACTAAATATTTAATATTGCTTTATTGCAATAATATTGATTTACATTTGTTTTAGAGGTATGGAACCACCCCCCCCGCCCCCCCATTTCAAGTGTTGTTACCACACTACACCTACTATCAAGGCACCCAGTCTTTGGGATGCCCATTATTCTTGCATTACCTTTCCTCATGGAGTCTAATAGTTGAAAGAGCTGAAAGAGTTTATTCATTCTTTATTCCTTTGTATCTTTCTTTGTTCTTCCACCTGATTTCCTTGTGCATTTATCATCTTTCATTTGAGCAATTCAACTTCCAAAGTTTTCTCCAGAATTTTTAATCTCTTCTATTGATCTTTATATACCCTGCATCTCTGTTATTTTCTTATTTAAAACTTCAATTTCAATCATATGTTAATTTTACTTCCCAGTGCATTCATTTATTTTTCTGAAGTTTCTTGTATAACTTTAGCCACCGTTTCTGTTTCCATCCATTTCTTTGAATTTCTTTATCACGGCAATTTTGAGTTCTGTGTCTGATAGGAAGAAAAACTTCCATGTCTTTGTGCTTGGGTTCTGGATATTTGTTCTTTCTCTGTGGTGTAGCACTCTTTTGAGGACTCAGGTTGTCTTTTGTTTTTTTTCTCTCCCCATTACTTCACTGATTTTAGGGGTGCAGGGATTCCATCTACTTTTCCAGTAGATGGCACTGTATGACAGGGAAAACCATTAGGTAGCTGGGTGGTCTGTGAGTTGGGAGAGGGTCGGGAGGAAGGGTCTGTCCCTTGTGAGAGTGCTGTGGGTGGGATTTGCTTGTGCTTGGGTCAGTGCCACTAGAGCTGTTCTTCATAACCTTTGTTAATCTGTTTATGGGGACTACACCTGGGAGAAGAAATCAAATGTACAAGAATGAACAGCAATGTAAAAAAATAAAGTTTAATCAAAAGCAAAATAAACATAGAAAATAGGTATTTTCTCTGGGTGGTAGGTTAGGAGGGAGCCTGGTGGCTTTTAGTGGAGTTAGAGAAGCTGTCCAAGAGAAAAATAAACTCCACATAAGATAAAGAACCACCCTACAGAGCAATCAGACTCTGAGCTTAAAGAGAAATGCTTTCGTGGGTGCTTATGACAAACTTTATGGACTGAATGAATGTTTGCCTTTTCTCCAAATCCATACATTGAAGTCTCAACCCACAGTGTGATGATATTTGAAGGTGAGGACTTTAGGAAAGTAATTGAAGTTAAGTGAGGCTCAGGCCTCAAAAGAGACACCAGAGAGCTGTTTCTGAACACACTTGCTAAAGATAGAACCTGTGAGCACACAGGGAAAATGCAACCAGCATTGTCTGCAAGTCAGAAAGAATTTCTTGGCCAGAAGCTGAATTGGCTGGAACTTTGTTCTTAAATTTCTAGTTTTCAGAGATGTGAGACAGTAAGTTGCTGTTGTTTAAGTCACTAGTCTATGGTACCTTATTCTGGCATTCCCAGCAGACTGATACATATTGTGTGATATCAGTCTTTTGAAATACATCTATGCCTGAATAGTTGTGGCTGAAGAGTCAATGATGGGCCCTCTCTGATGGCACAGTGGCTAAAACACAACACTATGAAGTTCTCTGAAGCCACTGCACACTAGAAGTCACTGCAGCACGAGTTTGATCCCTGGCCTGGGAGGTGACCCACATGGCTCAGCAGACCTCTCCTGACCACTCGCTGCTCCCCTCAGCAGTATATTTCAGTCAGTCTGCTAGCTCTGCTCCCTGCTGTATCTCTGGTGGAAATCTCTCACCCCCTGTGCCCCTGGCTATACCCCAGATCTTATATGCATAAATAAATAAATAAATCTTTAAAAAAAAACAAACAGAGTCAATGATAAGGGTCTTCCTGAAGGCACAGGGGTTAAAGTCTCAGTGCTATCTGGCTGTTTCCAGCTACAGCAGCACTGGTTTATCCCCAGCCTGGGAGGTGACCCACATGGAGCAGCAGACCTCTCCTGTCTCACCCACCACTCCCCTTCACAGTATTTCAATAGGTCTGCCTGTTCTGCTTCCAACTCTGTCTCTGATGAATATTCTCACCCACCACACCTCTGGCCTGTACCCTAGTTCCTGTATGCATAAATAAAACCTTAAAAAGAGTCAACGATAAGTCCAGAATTGCTGTGGTTATACTAGAAAGTAGATTTAGGTCTAGGATAAGAATTTTATCAATGAATGTTGATGACAGTAACTCATTTTTTCTTATTGATTGTCATTTTCTCTTCACAGGAATGTGAATTAGACCCTTGTTGTGAGGGGAGTACTTGTAAGCTCAAATCATTTGCTGAGTGTGCATATGGTGACTGTTGTAAAGACTGTTGGGTAAGAATGTCCTTTCTATTTGGAAATAAAAATTAAAAAATACATAGTTAAAATTTGTTTCTCAGATATGTAAGAGAACCCTACTTTTACTTTGTAATATGAAAAATTTTGTTACTTTTTTTGCAATTTGATTCACACATGTGATTATGACAAATAAACTAGTGAGATTTTTTTCTAAGTCTACATTTTTTGCTTAACTTAAAGAATAATTTACATTTACACATAATTCAGCAATACTAGCATATAGAAAGTAGACAGTGAAAGACTACTATTTACCCTTCCCAGCAAGTCATTTCTGATGAACTGTTAGTAATGTAATTTTGTTTTCTTATTTAAATGTGAGGGTATGTGTATAAGTAGGTAAACAGATACATATTTTACTATCTGTTTGCCTTTTTTTCCAATTAGATATCATTTATATAGTTTATATAGTTCTGCATGCTTATATAGGCAGTACTCCTTTATATGGCTGTACCATAATTTCTTAGTTTAGTCAGCTAGTGATAGACATTTACATTGTTTGCACATTTTTTAAAAGATTTATTTATTTGTACATACAGAACTGGGGTTCAGGTCAGAAGTGCAGGGGCAGTGAGAGGCTTCACCAGAGGCAGAGTGGGGTGCAAAACAGGCAGATCAATGAAGTACACTGCTGAGGGGAGCAGTAGGCAGGTCAGCAGAGGTCTGCCGCGCCATGTGGGTCACCTCTGGCGCCAGGGATTGAACTCTTACTGAAGAGGCTACAGATAACCTGTGGTGCTGAGCCCTAAACCATTGTGTCACCAGGGAGAGCCCTGTTTGCACATTTTGGAATACTAAGTGAAACTGTTGGGGCAGAATATGTCTATTCAAAGTTGTGACACTTTTTATATATTTTCTACAAATATTCCAGTGTATACTTATAATGACAGTGTAATCAAATGCTTATTTTTTAATGCTAACATTGGTTGCTATTAAGTTGGATTATCTTGCTTAGTGTGCTAAGTGTCAAGTGCTGTTATATTTTTATTTAATTTGCATGTTTTCTGGTTATGAATGAGGCTTTTCCCCCCTTCTGTTGGGTTACTTTTATGAATTGCCTATTATTGGCCTTTGTTCATTTTTCTATTAATTATTTAATCTTCTGCTATTAGCATTTTATACATATGTTAATATGTATACATATGAAATATAGCATTATGTGTATGAATATATATATCATATAAAATACTATGTATACTATACTATATTATATAAAAACTATATATAATACATATAATTGTACATGTGTATGTATGTGTGTGTATGGTTTCAAGTTGGGTTATTTTTGTGGGAATTGTCCTGATATTCCTGTTTAATTAGTATTTACTATCCTAGTTCCTTCCAGGAGGTACTTTATGCCGAGGAAAAACCAATGAATGTGATGTTCCAGAATATTGCAATGGTTCTTCTCAGTTCTGTCAGCCAGATGTTTTTATTCAGAATGGATATCCTTGTCAGAATAACAAAGCATATTGTTACAATGGCATGTGCCAATATTATGATGCTCAATGTCAAGTCATCTTTGGTTCAAGTAAGATTTCTTTTTATATATACTAGATTGCTTTTATTTGCTTTTAAATGGAAATGAAAACATTACTGATAAAATCAAAGTTTTCTGTTTCTTCTTTTCTATTAATGTCTCTTTCCTTTTTCACTGAATTTGATACATCAAATTTAGCTAATGAGTTGTCCTTCTACTCTTTCATTATTATAGCCCCTCTATCCTATGTATATAAATACTACATATGTTAACGTGATATCATATTCTAGTTTTAGTAACTTCACATAATTAATGTGGGGATAGTCATATGGATCTGCTATTTTATTGTTCACTCAATATTTTTGAAATCCATATATATTAATATATATATAGGATTTCTTTTGTTTTCTTTCTTTTTTTAAAGATTTATTTATTTATGCTTACAGAACTGGGGTACAGGCCAGAGGTATGGTGGCTGAGAGGAGTTACCCACCAGAGACAGAGCTGGGAGAAGAACAGGCAGATATATTGAAATACACTGCTGAGGGGAGCAGTAGACCGGTCAGGAGAGGTCTGCCACGCCATGTGGGTCACCTCCCTGGGTGGGGATTGAACTTGTGCTGCAGTGGCTTCAGAGAGCTTCATAATGCAGTGCTTTAACCTGTTGTGTCTCCAAGGAGAGCCCTGTTTTTTCTCTTTAAAGCTTTCATTTTCATCATGTAGTAAAATAGAGTGTAAAGTTATACAAAATATAAAGTGTATTCCCTTCAGAAGTTTCTTCCTTGAGGTAGCAACTTTTACCTTTTCTGGTTTATTATTTTGCTAATTCCTCCCATTGTTTAGATAACTTCTTGGTGATTGTTTTTGATTTTTCTATTTTTCTTATTCCCTATTAATTTCTCACTATGGAAGATGAAAATTTTGTTTATTTCTCTCAGCACATTTCAGTTCCATCATGCTCCTTTTCCGTTCTGTAGCTTCTTAATCTGGATTAATTGTACTTTTAGTTAGAACAGTATTGACTATTGTGATACTGGGATTTATCATGAGAAATATGTGTCAGTTACTGGCAAAGAATTCATAGAATCCTTGGAATTTCCTAGGTAATAAAATCCATAAAGTTGTCTTTTGTTAAGAAAATGAGACAACATTTGGCAAACCCCTAGGTTATTTAGAGTTGGAATCTGGTTGAGGAACCAGTGGTTGATTATAATGTTGGAGCTTTCAATCTCCAGGGAGGGCAGAGGGACTGGACATGGAGCAGATTATAAATGAGTGAATGATCAGTTATGCCTATGTAGTGAAGTGCCCATAAAACCCCAAAGGGCAGGGTGTGGAAAGCTAGTGTTCTGGTGAACAAGTGGAGATGCAGGGAGAGTACTGTGCTTAGAGAAGGCATGGAGACTCTGAGACATTTCTCCATACTTTGTCCTATGCATCTCATCCACTTGCCTGTTACTGAATTATATGCTTTTATAATAAACAGGTTAATCTAGTAGTGAAATGTTTCTGTTAATTGCTCTAATAAATTAATGGAACCCAAGGTGGAGATCGTAGTAACCTCTGGTATAAAGCCTATTGTTCACTACAGGTGATCATAGGACTTGTGAGTTGCAACTGAAGTGAAGGACTGGGGAGGGGAGAAACAGTAAAGAGTAGTCTCATGGTGAGACCTAGTCTTAATCTGTTAGATCTGACACTATTCTTTGAAGATAGTGTCAGACTTGAGTACAATTAATTGTAGGATTCCTAACTACCTGGTTTTGGAAAACTGTTTTGTGGTGTGGCAAAAGCACATTGTGGATCTGTGTATTGTATTTAGTCATGTTAATGCTATTCACAACTGAGTTATATTGTAATGTAGAACTGCATTCTTGCCTCTTGTTTCTGCAAAGGCCTCCCTCCCCTCTTGGTTAGTTTCCTATGTTGTTAGCAGTCGTGGAATGGTAAATCATTCAATGGTGTCCGGGTTTTGCCTTGAGGTGATTAAAGGCATGAGATAGATTGCTAATTTCAACCTGTCTGAAGTAGTAGGAGGTGTCTGATTCTCTTGAAAACATACATACACATCATATATAATGTCAAAAAGAAAAAAACACTGATGTTACCTGGCTTGATACAACTATCCTGTGTGGTTTTTTCAATTAGTTTTCCATAAAATCTTGAGGGTTCTTTATGTATATTATTATGTCTTCTGAAAATACTAGTACATTTACTTCTTTCCCAATTTAGACTTCTCTTCTATCCTTTTTTTGCCCATTTTCTCTAGCTAGGACTTCCATACTATGTTGAATCATAGTGGTGAAAGGGAACATCCTGGTCTTGTGCAGCTTTTGTGGAAAAACTTACACTTTTTCACCATTGAGAATGATGTTAACTGTGGGTTTGTTATATGCCCTTTATTATATTGAGGTATGTTCCATTTTCATCTTAGATGGATGTTGAATCTCATCAAATGCTTTCTCATCATATATTGACATGATCATATGGTCTTTTATTTTCCTTTTATTGATGTTGTGAATTACGTTTATTAATTTTTGGATGTTGAATCCATCCCTGAGTCCTGGGTATGAATCCCACTTGTTCATGATGTATGACCCTTTTAATGCATTGCTGGTTGGTGTTAGTTTACTAAGATTTTGTTAAAGACTTTTATGTCTTTATCCATTAGAGACACTGGTTTTTGTATGTTGTCTTTGCCCAGCTTTGGTTTCAGAGTAATGTTGGCCTCATAAAGTGTGTTTGGAAATACGTCTTTGTCAATTTTTTTGAAAAAGCTTGGAAAGGAGAACTACTAGCTTATTTTTGATGATTTGGTAGAAGTTATGAGTAAAATTATCTCTTCCTGGACTTTTTATTTTTTCAGAGAGTTTTGATTATTGTTTCAATTTCTTTGCTTGTCATTGGCCTTGTAAGGTTTTCTGTTTTTCCTTACTCAGTCTCAAATGATTGTATAATTCTAAGGATTTGTCTGTTTCTTTTCTTTTATTGAACTTAGTAGCATATGAATGTTCATATAATCTCTTATCCTTTGAGTTCACAGTGTCTGCTTTAACTTCTCTTTTGTTCCTGATGCTATTTATTTGAGTTTCCTCACTCTTTTACTTAATGAGCCCAGGTAGGGGTTTGTCTGTTTTGTTTATTTATTTTTTTACAGAACCAGCTTTTGCTTTGGATCATCTTTTTATTTCTAGCTCCTTTATTTCCACTGTAATTTTTAATATTTCCTTTCTTCTACTGGTGTTGGGTTTTGTTTGCTTTTTTTTTTTTTTAACTAGTTTCTTGATATAATGTAAGACTTAAGCTCTTTCTTGTTTTTGATGCAGATCTGTGTGTGCAGATTTTCTGTATTCATTTTCATATGATTTGTTCCTCTGTTTTTTGCTCCAACTTTCAACTTCTATCCATTTCTTGTAAATCAAGTAACATAGTACCTGATGTGTAAGCTAGGCAAGTGAATTTCCCTTTTAAAATAGAAAGTACTAGAATTGTGGCTTAAAATATTTCCAAATAACATATTTTGAGTGAAAATTGATATTTAATTAAAATATTAAGTAAATATTTTGTGAAAAAATTGAATATGAAGTGATACATATTTAGAACATTAAGAAAGTTTAAATTGATAGTTTGTTAGCTGTCAGCCTGTTTGATAACCCATCTAATCAGTAAGAGTAAATAAATTAAGCACCTATATGTGTTAATAAAAGAACAAAATAATAATGGCTTGCATTGTTGGTACTAAACTTTTCCAGCTTGATCTAACCAGAGGTTTATAGAACAGTTTACTGCTCTATTCTTTGTTAAAAAGCATTGAGGGAAAAAAAAAAAGCATTGAGAATGATTATGTTGAAAATGCTTCCTTACTCTGTGTGGTTTTTAATTTATCTATAATTTTTCCTTATTTAATGACATTTCTTTTAGGAACTAAGTTTTTGAATCCAAGGTACTACATTTTTAAGAGTTATTATTAAAATTTATTTATGCAGGGCCCTCCCTGGTGGCACAGCCGGTTAAAGCACAGCACTGAGATGCTAAAACCACTTCAGCATGAGTTCGATACCCGCCCTGGAGGTGACCACATGATGTGACAGACCTCTCCTAACCACCCGCTGCTCCCCTCAACAATGTACTTCATAGATCTGCCTGTTCTGCTCCCCACTCTGCCTCTGGTGAGTCCTCTCACGCCCCTGCACCTTTGGCTTGTACCCCAGTTCTGTATGCATAAATAAATAGATCTAAAAAATTATTTATGCACTTAAGAACCGGAATGCAGAATAGAGGTGCAGGAGCTGAGAGGATTCATCAGAGAGAGTGAAGGGAGCAGAACAGGTGGATCTACTGAGGCACACTGCTGAGGGGAAGCAGTGGGGTACACAGGAGAGGTCTGCTGTGTCCAGTGGGTTTGCTCCCTGGGTAGGGATTGAACTCATGCATCAGTAGCTGGTGATAGCTTGATAGTGCTTGATAGAAACTTTAACCCCTGGGCCACCAGAGATGACTCCAAGGTAATTTTTAAGTATAATAAGCTTCATCATTTTGTTGTTAAGCATAAAATAAAACTTTTTATCTATAAGGCCTGGAACATTTTCAAAGGTATTGAGGTAGTTCATCCAGGAGTATAGACCGTTATGGGGAATAGATTTATTTCTGAAAGAAATTGCCATAACTTTAAAAATATTTTTAATGTTACAGAAGCCAAGGCTGCCCCAAGAGATTGTTTCATTGACGTGAATTCTAAAGGTGACAGATTTGGCAATTGTGGTTTCTCTGGTAATGAATACAAGAAGTGTGCCACTGGGTAAGTAGAGGCAATGTTGTAAAGGAATATGAAAGCTTATTATAAAATCAATCCTTTCTACAATGTTACATAACTCCTTGTGATTACTGACTTTCTCCCCTTAAGTTCCTAACTTTTTGAATTTATAATCTTGCAATGCAGGAATTGAGAGAGACTCTGATAGATCTGATAAAATGATTTATCGTTCTTGATATTAACTGACTAAAATCTAATAGAATGGGGGAAAATAGCATAGAGAGAAGGTATTTGCACATTACATATCTGACAAAGGGTTAATTTCCAGAATATATAAAGAAATCACATAACTTAGCAACAACAACAACAACAAAAAAACCCAAACATCCCAATAAAAAATTTGGCAAAAGGCCTTAATACACACTTCTCCAAAGAATATGTCAGATAGCATTTATTTCAGATAGATGAAAAAAATGCTCGCTATCATTTATTATGAAGGAAATACAAATCAAAACCAGGAGACATTACCTCACCCCTGTGGAAATGGCTTATAACAAAGTCTCTTGCTCCTTTATTTTCTTAGTTGAAATTTCCTTCAGCCAAACAGCTGTAAATACTGTGTCTGTATACAAAAATGCAATTTTTATTTTGTATATACACATGGATACATTTTTTAGCATGAATTTTCCTTTAATTTTTTTAAGGTAATTAAAAAAAATAATCTAATAGTTTATTTTTACATCCTTTTGTGCCTTTTTCCATCTCATTTGTAATCTCCATGGACTTCCCATCACCAAATCACCTGTATGCCATCACCATAGTCCAGTGCACTCCCCACCCCCCAATCCCATTTTTGATCCCATTCCCCATTCCACTCCTGTAAAATGTCTCTGGTGTATAATTGTTCATTATTATTATTTTTTCCCCCTGGTCATTTATACTCCTGCTATAAGTGAAACCACCCAGTATTTTTCTTTTTCTTTACACATAGATACACTTTAAGTTTGAATTATTTTTCTGTATGTATAGGAATGCTTTGTGTGGAAAGCTACAATGTGAGAATGTACAAGACATGCCGGTATTTGGAATTGTGCCTGCTCTTATTCAGACTCCCAGTAGAGGTACTACATGTTGGGGTGTAGATTTCCAGCTAGGGTCAGATGTTCCAGATCCTGGGATGGTGAATGAAGGTACAAGATGTGATGTTGGAAAGGTAATTAAAAACATCTTCTACTTAAAAGGGAAAAAAAAATCTTTATACAAAGTAAATGGTTGTTCTTTTCTAACTCTAAAAGAAATTATATTTATTGTAAAGATTTTACAAACTACAAAGCCACCAAGAACAAAATTAAGAAAAACTATAATTTTGTTAGCCAGATTTCCTCATCTGGGTCTTTTAATATAATCTATGGTTTCTATATTGTGAGACACTGTATTTTCTACCCCTATCAATGTGCTAAAATTTACTAGTTTGCTATTATTGGGATACATATGTGAATGTGATTGTGTGTTTGTGAGGGAGAGGGGAAAAAGAAAGGTTGAAAGACAAGTAAGCATATAGGTGTGTTTCTGGATAGAAATGTCAGTGCTTGTTCTGCCTAACCTCTCTGTTATGCTGGCCTAGCTGTTTGGGTTAGATATAAACCAAGAGTTAATCAGGCGTTGACCTATCAGTGGTTTGAGTATGAGCTAGACCAAGTTCCTTTATTTGTTGAATTCTTTTTTTTTTAAAGATTTATTTATTTGTGCATACGGAGCTGGGGTACAGGCCAAAGGTGTAGGGGCAGTGAGAGGATTCACCAGAGACAAAGTGGGGAACAGAACAGGCAGGTCGACAAAGTACATAGCTAAGGGGAGCAGCGGGCGGGTGAGGAGAGGTCTGCCACGCCATGTGGTCACCTCCGGGGCAAGTGGGAATTGAACTCATGTGGAGGTGACTTTAGCTTCTCAGTGCTGTGCTTTAATCCACTGCACCACCAGGGAGAGCCCTATTTGTTGAATATTTAATCAGATAAAGGCAATTAAAGGTAATACAGAATTTCAAATTCTTTTAGAGATGTAGAGATAGGAATAGGGCTAGAAGGACTATGGCAGTATCACGCCATGGACAGGAGATAGGAGGAGACAGTATTGTTGAGCAAGTTGAAGAAACAACTCAGATGCTAGTAGGGGAAAAGGAGGAAGAAGAGAAAGAAGATGGGAGAGAATACAATTGACTGATTGATTATGTGACACATGAAAAGACAAATGGACCCTCAAGTTGACTTATTTTTGTGATAGATAAGTATATTATATCTCTGCAACAATTAAAAAATAAATTTACTCCCTAACCTTGTTTGTATTGGAATCATATAGATAGCTGCTCTGGGGTAGTAGAGCTATATCAAAGGTATGAGAAACAAGGTTTAAAGAAAAAGTTGAATATTCTTATATGAAAATGTTTTAACTGAACAATTTCTGTTGAAATCAAGATTCAAGATACCTAAATTTCTACTGTTTTCAGTCCTAATTCTGTTCTTTACTTGTTACAAAAAGACCCTTATGTTTTTGTGCTGGTGCTGTCACTACATAAACTGCAGTTATAATGCTGCTATAAAAGGACTTATAGATAAAATAAAAATAAAAATAAAACTTTCATAGCATCTGATTGTTTTCTTGGGTTAAATTGCTGTAGTTGTATGTGCACTTTTACAGTTTAAAATAATTTTGCTAGTTTTCTTTTGAGAAACATTTTACTAATATACCTTCTAACCAGTTTTCAAAAATAAGTGTTTCAATTCTCCATACCATAGTTAAGATTAGATGCTAATATTTTAAAAAGTTTTGATCCCTAGGCTGGGGATCAAATTCATGTAACTGTTTGTGCCACTAGGGACACCTCCTTTGTATTTTTAGCCATATAAATAGGTTTCTTATTTAAAATTTATTGAAAATTATTCGGGGAAGTAGAATTTGGTGAGCCTCTGACTGTGCACTGACTGTGCATATTTGTTGAAAACTATTTTTTTTTTTAAGAACAGTAAAGGTATCTATTGAATTTTCATTGTTTGTTCTCTAATTGCTCTTAATTTCATCAGACTCTTCAAGCATCGTGATTTTGTGTAGTGGTTACTTATTAAAATTTTAAAATGGCACTCAATAGTCTTAATAAAAAGACTACTTTTTTCCCCTAACATTACAAAAGAGCAGTTTTTATGATGTCAGTTTTCCACAAAGGTGGAAATTTTAGTAAGTTCTTAACTTTGGATTTTATTTTAATATTTTTCTCAGATACTGATACTTTTTATTTCTATTTCAATATTTGGGACTCATTTATAAAATATTTCATGTCTTATTGTATGAACTAAGTTTATTAAAACTATATAAGATATATAATAACTTATTGTCAACAGTGCTTTTAATAGTAATGCCCCTTGCTTTATCATTAATTATGATCATGGAAGATAGGCTTTATCTTACCAACAAAGTATGTTTTAATTTTTATTTCCTGAAAGAACTTTAAAAGTCAACATGTTTAAGCTTTTTCAATACAATTTTGATATCTATTGTAATTGACAATTTTATAGATATTATAGTAATATATTTCCTATTATTGAGTCTTATAGTGATGAGATCACTTGTATCTAGTGCTTTTCATTTGACAAAATGAATTTCTGAATATTTCACTTAGAATATTCACATCTATATTTGTCCAGAAATTTAGATTATAGTTTTTGTATTTTTTGTCATCTTCGATGATTAATTTTATATTAATTTCTCTTGTACATTTTCAATTTATAGTGTGGGAGTTAGCTGTTGAATAAAGATTAAAGAATCAATGAATTAGTTTTTGCTTAGGTCTTTTGTGCTAAGTACTTTATTAATGTGTTCAATTTTCCCGTATTCTCTCTTTTTTTCTTTTAGATCTGTAGAAACTTCCAATGTGTAAATGCTTCCATTCTGAATTATGACTGTGATGTTCAGAAAAAGTGTCATGGACACGGGGTAGGTAATAGTCTCTCTTGGCTTGTTCACGAAAATAATGCTTAATAATAGGAATTCCCTGCAAAGATTAAGTGGATACTTCCCAAGATTTTTAGGTTTTTAAATATTGGGGAATTGAGATGTCTAATATATATATATTTTTTCATTCTTAAAGAGAATATTTATGGGTTTGCATCCTTTAACTCCATTTTTTGGGTTTCTATTCTTGAATTCATGATTTAGGCATACAATCACAATTAATAATAGTGATATTTTGATTGTTTTGAAGGTATGTAATAGCAATAAGAATTGTCACTGTGAAAATGGCTGGGCTCCACCAAATTGTGAAAATACAGGATATGGAGGAAGTGTGGACAGTGGACCTACATATAATGGCAAGTATCCCTGTTAATTGCCTTTAGTTTCTTGCCTAGACTTACATAATATTCTCTTAAATATGATCTCCATTATCATCTTCCTATAATGTTATGTCCCCCCCCCCCCAAGAATTCAGTTTTGATCATGTCATTGCTCGGCCTTTAACTCAGTGCTTCTGAGTTACTATTAGAATGAAGTAAAAAAAAAATTCTGTATATGGGTTAAATAATAATAAATAATGAATAATAAATTCATAATTTGCCTGCTAGTTTTGTCTTTCTTTTTTCTGATTCAGTGTTAGGTTTCCCTATATTCCTCCTATAAGTAAAACTACCCAATGTAGTACATTTATGTTAAGAACAGCAGTTTTCACATTGTACACATTTTGGTATGTCATGCCTTCTCAAAATAACTTCTAAAATTCTTTTATTTTTTTCCTTTGTTAATTTAGAAATATATTACTCTGTCATGATATAGCTGGGAAATTTTCAAATATCTTTGTGTTATTGATTCTTAAGAATCCCACATTAGTCAGAGAAAATACTTTCTGTGCTTAGAATCCTTTTTCACTTTTTGAAACTTATCTGTGTCCCATAAGTGGTTTATCTTGGTAACAGATATGTATATAATGGAAAAAAAATGTGTATTCTTCTATAATTGGGTAGAGCGTTTTATAAATAACTAGTTCATGTTGACTGACAAATTTTTTTAAGTCATCTGTATCCTTATAGATACTTATATACTTGTTTAGTCAATTGTGGAGAGAGGAATATCTAAATCTCTGGCTTTTATTGCTGGTTTGTCTATTTCTTGCTGTCGGCTACTCAGCTTTTGCTTTTTATGTGAAGGCCTATTATTAGACCCATAAACATTTACAATTGTTTTATCTTTTTAATGAATTCACTCCTTTATTATTAAGAAGTCAGTCTCCTTTATGTCTGGTAATGATCTACTATTCCACAATCAAAAACTAACTTCACTGTCCCCCATTTGTTTTGATTAGTCATCACAGGAAACATTTTCTCCTCCTCTACTCTTAATTTAGTTGTGTTTTTATAAAGTGGGTTTCTTGTAGGTAGCAGTCAGTTGAGTCTTGCTTTTTTAATCAGTTTGCTGATTTTTTTCTGACCATTTTTGTTTTATTTAATTATCAATATTTGGGGGTCCAAATCTACCATGTTGTTATTTTTCTGTTATTTCTCTTTTTATGTTTTTTTTGTACCTCTTCAAAGTGCTTTTATTTCTCTTTTCTTGGCTTTTATGTTGTTGTTATGTTTCTATACTGTTTTTTAAAAGATTCATTTATTCATGCATACAGAACTGGGGTACAGTCCAGAGGTGCAGAGGCAATGAGAGGATTCACCAGAGACAGAGTAGGGAGCAGAACAGGCCAATTGATATAGTACACTGCTGAGAGGAGCAACGGGCGGGACGTGCAGGTCTGCCATGCATGCCATGTGGGTCACCTCCCTGGCTGGGAATTGCACTTGTCCTGAAGTGGCTTAATTTTCATAGTGCTGTGCTTTAACTTGATGCACCACCGGGGAGGGCCCTGTTTCTACCCATTTAAAACCCAACAATACATTGTTATTACTTGTGCTTTAAATAAGTATTATCTTTTAAAGAGATTTAAATAGTAGAAAATATCTTTATATGTACCCATCTAATTGCTGTTTCTGGTGATCTTTGTTTTGTGGTATAAATGTAGATTTCTATCCGGTATCATTTACTCAATGTTTGAAAGACTTATTTTCACATTTCTTGTAATGTAGGTTTCCAGTGACTGTGCATGGCAGGAACAAGCACTATTCCTGATTCTGTGTGAGCTGAGGGTTTATTCCCACTCATTCTTGTAGAAATGTCTATTGAGTATTTAAAGGGATGCCTGTTGCCTTTTGGGTGCAGCCTGTGGATCTTTCAGGTTCAGTCTGTGTAGCTTTTGTCCCTAGGGTATGTTTCCCAATGAACTTTAATAACTGGTTTGGCTTCCTTAGATAACCAGCTCCATCACTCCTCAAATTAAAGGGATCATTTTGACTGGATTCCCTTACCTGTCATCATGAATGGTTAGCTCTCTAAACAGCAAACTGGGACAATTATAAAGTTTATCTTGTTTTCTGTCCAGCGTTCATTATCTTGAAAATTTTTGGTTCATGTATTTTGTCTGGTTTTCTGATTGGTTTATCTGACAGGACAAATCTGGTCCCTATTACTCTATCTTGACTAGATATGGAAGCTATTTTTTTTGGGTTTTAAGACTGCATGTCATTCCATCGGAGTGTGCCATAATGTGACATAGTCATTTTCTAATTACTTGACATTTGTTTCTAAATATTTGATATACACTCATAACATTGTTGTATACATGTTAATACTTATGCATTTTTTTTTCCAGTTGAAAGATAAGTTGCCTGTAATGAGATATAAGGTTGAAGGATATAAATCCTTTATATGTTCCATGATAAATATTCCAAGTGAATTTGTGTGATATCCCTGGCAGTATAAAGTACCAATTTCAATTAACAAAATAAACTTGTTAGTGTTGGATACTCTAATTAAAATTTTGTGTACTCATTAGTAAATATGAAATGATATATCATATTTGCTTTAATTTCCCATATTTTTAATTTGGTGAGTGTTGTATCATTTATTTTTATGCAACTTATAACAGAAATATCTGATACTTTTATTAACTTAACAAAAGAAAATTGCATACTACTGTTCATAATTATTATATTCTTACAAGAAGATCATGGAACAGATAAAATTAATCTTGGGCCTTCCTGGTGGTGCAACAGGTTAGGATGCAGCTTGCAAGCTAGCCGCAGCCGCCTCAGCATGAGTTCGATCCCCATCCTGGGAGGTGATCCACATGGCGTGGCAGACCTCTCCTGACCTGCCCGCTGCTCCACTTAGCAGTGTACTTCATTGATCTGCCTATTCTGCTCCCCACTCTGGCTCTGGTGAAGCCTCTCACTGCTCCTGAACTTCTGACTTGCACCCCAGTTCTATATGAATAAATAAATAAATCTTAAAAAAAAAGGGCAAATGTTATCCTTAAAAATATAAAATAAAGTTAATGTTAATTAATGAATTTAGAAAATTATAAAAGGGCTTAAAATGCCAAAGCCATAGAAGATTGATATATTCAAATACCTAAATATAATAAGCTTCGACAGGGAGAAAAGCTGCTATCAAAAGATGCATGACAAGTGGGGGAAATATTTACAAATAAGTCAGAGACAGTCTCCCTAGTATTATTTCCTAACTAATCTCCCTAGTATAATTTAAAGACTGTTGAGGGGGAGCCTCCCTAGGGGCCTAGGGATTAAGTCCCAGTACTATCGTGGCCACGGCCCACCTCCATGACCTAAGTTCCATCCCCAGCTAGGGTGCTGCTGCACCCCTCAGTAGTATATTTCAGTCAGTCTGCCTGTTTTGCTGCCCATTCTTTCTCTGGTGAATCCTTAAGCCTCCTCATCTCTGGCCTACACAAGTTCTTCTATGCAAACAAACAAACAAACAAACAAACAAACAAACAAAGCAACCTTTTGTTTTTTATTTATTTTTAAATTTAATAGTACAGATTAGTTTTACTCTCCTTAATTTCAAAATGCTATTTTTCTCTCTTGTTAATCTTACAGAGGTTTGCTTTTTAGCTTGATTTTCATTTGTTTAACTAAAATGGTTCCTTGTCCTTGCTAGTAGCTATTTGTGTCACTGATAAATATTTTCATAATATTTAAGAATGTAATTTTATAAGTATCTATTTTCTTGTGGTTATCTGCTTACTTATTTAGTTATTATTATTTTTTCCTCATTGGGGTAATGTTCTACAAACATGGTATGTGATTGCCCTCCTTGTTCCTAACCTCTCCTCCCCTGTCTCTCTCTCGCATTCTTAACCTGCAGTCATAGTTTTAGGGTTTGTTTTGTCAGTTCCTTTGTTTTTTTTTTTTTTTTAATCTGTATTTGTTCCATGTATGAATAAAATAATCCAGTATTTGTCCCTCTCCTTCTGACTTGTTTCACTTAGCATAATCCCCTCCAATTCCATCCATATTGTTGCAAGTGAGAAGTATTCATCTTTTTTTTTTTAACATAGATGAGTAGTATTCTACTGTGTATATATCCCACCTCTTGTTCATCCAATGCTCTGCTGATAGGCATTTATAATAATCAAGTTTCAATAACATAGTGCTCCAATGATCATAGGAGTGTCATAGCCCTTCAAATTAGTGATTTTGGATTCTTCCATTAGACAACTAAGCGTGAAATTGCTGGGTCAGATGGTAGATCTGTTTTTAGTATTTTGAGGAACCTCTCTCCTGTTTTCCAGAAGGGCTATACCAGTCTACATTCGTTTCATTATCCACACTTTTCAACTTTTGTTGTTTCTGGCTTTCTATAGTGGGTCATCTTACAGGCATGAGGTGGATATCCATTGTGGTTTTCACTTGCATTTCCCTGCTGATAAGTAATGTTGAACATTTTTTCAAGTGCCTTTTGATCAGCTGTATGTCTTTGAATAAGCCTCTATTAAGTTGAATAGTGTTTATGGAATAATAGCTTTTATATAACAAATGGTTATAAAAATGTATTTTGTTCTTGTTTATATTTGCATGAATAAATACTGTAAAATTATATAAAAAAATCAATAAAAGGCAGGGAGACAAAATTGAAGTGGGCAGGGGTGAACAAGATTTCTCAGTGTATTCAATTTATATCAGCTTGATATTTGAACAATATGAAAGTCAATGAAAAAAATTTTCAACCATTGTGCCCTGTTAATATCAGTTAATATCTAATTTAATGACCAATTACATAAAATTCTTCTCTTTAGAAAAGAGTACTGCAACGAGAGACGGACTTCTGGTATTCTTCTTTGTAATTGTTCCCCTTATTGTTTTTGCTGCTTTTGTCTTCATCAAGAGAGATCAAATATGGAGAAGCTGCTTCAGAAAGAAGAGATCACAAACATATGAGTACTTAGAATTTTTCTTTTATACTCCTTGTAATTTAAGTATAATGGAAAAACCATATCATAGGGATTGGTTTAAAAATTGGTTTCAAAGTTATCTCTCTATTCTTTTACATATGACTAGCAGGGATTAAATATTTGGTAGTGATGACCTAGGTCTTCTTATATTAATGATGTAAATGGTCCCAGTTACCTGCTATATACTACTGAAAATGCCCCCACAGTTCATTTGCTTCACATTGATCTCTAATGCATGGATTAGTTGAGTTTTGGGCTATAACTTATGACTGGGATTTTCCATGATTTATTTATTTATGTGTACAAGAATTGGGGTATAGGCCAGAGGTGCGGGGGTGAGAGATTCATCAGAGACAGAGTGGGGAGTAGAACAGGCAGATTGACTGAAATACACTGCTGAGGGGAGCAGCATGCGAGACAGGAGAGCTCTACCATGCCATGTGCATCATCTCCCTGGCCAGGATCTAACTGAGTGCTGCACTGGCTGCAAATAGCTTCAGAATGCTGTGCTTTAACCCCGTAACTGGGGTTTTCATAATTACGTGGGGTTAAGCTAAAAAATATAAATGTTGAAAAATTTTCTCCAGGTTTGTTTCAAGTACCAGTTCATAGAGGAACAGTTTTCAAATCTCAATTTTGAAAAAATTTGGTGACTCATAAGTGTAAGAACTAATTTTGATGGACAAAAGTTTTGTCATAATTCAGACACCTGACATTTTTAACATATGTATTAAACTGTTGTAGGATAATTTCTTAACTATCTTGTCCATATCATGTTGGCATTAGAAGGTAGCATACATAAGGAGACTTTGTATCATATTATAATTCAAGTTTCAAATTGTTATTTGCTAGAACTAGGAATTATAACAATAAATAAAATGTGTAGCATTTGATATACTTCCTTTTAAAAAAAAAGAGTAATAATATTATCTACTGGACCTCCCTGGTGGCCTATAGGTTAAATTAGCACTTTCTACAATGGCCTGAGTTTGATCCCCAACCAGGGAGAGCAGACCTCTCCTGTCTCACCCACTGCTCCCTTCAGCAGTGTATCTCAGTCAGTCCGCCTGTCTGCTCCCCATTCTGTCTCTGGTGAATCCTCACCCCTGCACCTCTGGCCTATACCCGAGTTCTTCTACATAAAAGTAGATATAATCTTAAAAAAAAGTCTTAAAAAATACTAGATACCTCTACTTTTTGATGTGAGGAATAATGAAGAATTACTAATAAATAACCCCAGAGCATGATGCTGGTACATGTAATTACTTCACAACTAGTGCTTACTATGATTGCAAAATGTAAATATCTAATATTGATAACTCTCTTACTTCATTATCTTATTTCTCATTTATCACATAACAAGAATATCATGATGATATATTTTAACATATCCTAAAACATATCTATCTTCTTGTTCTTTTTTTCTCTTACTGCCTATCAGAGTTCATACTGACCAGTTCTTATAGATAACTCCCAATCTGCCTCTCCAGAATGACAGTTTCTTAACTATAGCTATCTCTGGTACTGCTCTACCTAGCTGACTTGCTGCCACCTCACAATACCTAAAACTTTTTGACAGCTTTTTTTTTTCCTCCAGGACTTCCTAATTTATAGATTGACCGCTTCAAATTTTAACTATGAAGCAGAAGAATAAGCTTTTACTCTTCTCTAATTTCAGGAAGACTTGAGAAAAATTTGGAGACAATTGGCCTGATTGTAAAATTGACAAAATTTATGCTTTTCTAGAATTTAAGTTTATTTGATTCTAAGATGAATTAAAATTTCTTTTCTAGGAAGGGTTAACACCAGCAGGGGAGGTAGGCCCTGGGAGGTCACAGTCCAGGTTGGAGCCAGGGAGGGCCTAGTGAGGGCCTTAACGTACCAGGGCTGGCATGTGGACCTGGATGGGCCTTTAGAAGGCTTTGGAGGAACTTGGGCCACAGTGATGCAGGAGCCAGGTGGGACTAGATGGGTGGGAGGCGGTTGTGAACCAGCTCTTCCTTTGGATTCTCATTGATGTTGGTTGACTAAATGTATGTGATCTGGTGCCTTTATGTATAAACTGAATTTTAAGCCCTGTCTGTTAGATGGGGCATTTTTAAGGTTCAGTATGAGATCCCCTTAGAGGCTTCGTTGAGCAACCATACGAGAATATTCCCTATGCAACTTACTTTTAGGAACCACATCAGATACTGAGTAGCCTGCTGAGATCTGGAAGCTCCTAATTGCAAATACATCAGAGAACTGGACTGTCATCCTTCGGTCCCTTTGGCCACTATAGGTGTGGAAAGGAGTAGTCACCAAGAAGTAAAAGCTGGCTTTGTTCTTTTCCATCAAACTTTGAGTAGTTTGCTTATATAGAGTTTGCACATCCAGAAGGGCTGAATGCAAAGAAATAGTTCAGCAAAAAAGGTGGCTTGAAGGATGTGTGAGTAAGTCCTGTGATGAAAACAATTCATTCTTGAGGGTTTGCACCCTAGTACCTAAGGGACTGTTGATTTAACTGGAGATGAGAAGAAGAATTATTTAAGTGAGAGGAAAGAAACCCCATCTCTGATATTTTTATCTCCAGTGCCCAAAGGGAAATTGGGATAAACAAATGAGTAAATTTCTTGGCCATCTGAGGAAGCTAGTGCATTAAGAAGATGAAGGCCATGCTTAAGTGTTTGTTTCTATTCTATTTCAGTGATTCTATTGTGCAGGGCTCTTGCTACCTAACAGCCTGAGCCCTGGATGTGGTGGTTTCTGGTTAGGGAAGCTGAAGATGGAGCTTTTCACAGTGTGCAAAGGTATTCCAAAAAGGCTTAAAACCTGTTATCCAGAACAGACTGCCTTCCCTTCCATGTGGTAGGGTTTCAGCCAAGATGAGAAATAAGGCCTTCCAAATGTAGCTCTGTTCAGTTTCTTTAGCCAGGGAGGGTGCACAGCTTGTCATAGCTTGAAGTGTGGTCAAGCATGTATCCAAACTAGTCACCTGTATTCAATCCAGGAGCCTCACCTGCCAACCTGAGGGGCAGCCAAGAGAGAGTGGCTAGTGTGCAGAAGTCACAGATGAGCCAGAGGGGGAACTGCAGGAAGGGTTGGGGAGATGTGATGGGGATAGAGGCAGCATCTTAGACACTATATCTATCTTCCCTGACTTTCTGCAGAGCTGGTCTCCAGAGTAATTTGCAGAATGAGGATGCATGCTTGTATTATCCAGTGGGGTAACTGCTTTCTAGATTCAGGAGACATTTAGAAAATTTGAGGGAAGTATGAAATCTGAAAGAGGCATCTATGGGTCAAGGGTCAGAGAATTTTATAGATAGAATAATAATAGACCAAAGGAGCCAAGGACAGGAAGAGTGTGCTTGATTATGTGAAGCTTTTAGAAATCATTTAAATGAGGCAGCGGGCCCTGAACAAACCGTTCATGACTTGGGAGAGGTTGCTGGAGGAACTGATCCTGATAATTGCTGTCCTGGTGTATATGGGAGCCACTAACAGTGTCCTGAGCTGGTGTAAGTCCTAGTGTGTTTCCCCTGGATTACTTCCTGACACTTGAGTTGTATACGTCAAAGAATGGCAAAACAGGAGAAGGAAAATTATAAGGACATTGAGTCTTCTTCAGCTTCAAGCGGCAGGCTAAAGGTGGAACTGGTTGAAGTCTATAGATAAATATTCTCCAATTCCACTCCCCTTTTCAGTCATACTGGAATGTAAAGGAAGTGTGCCTCCTTAGCAGATCTGGAATACATAATGTTAAAGGTAATGGCACTGGCAGAAAATGTAGAAAGATCAAGAAAGTATTAGTTAAATTCTTGGGTAACAGATGCATGTTGATGCCCTATGGAAAATGTGCTTGTGCTTTGAGAAGAGTTCACTGATGTAAGGAGACCTTTCTGTTTGTTTGTGGCACCACCATTAGTGCAGTCTTAGGCTGAATGGTTTATAGAGCTGAGATTCTATGATGGATCTGTTTCTCAATAAAAAGAGTAAAAATAAATAAATAAATAAATAAATAAAATGCTGTGAAAATTTGGCTACCATCATGATTCATCCTCACTACTACCAACATCATTATTTTGTATTTGGGAAAATACAAGGTATGTATAGTGTCATGTGAAAATATTTTAATTTTAATTTAAATCAAAAGTTAATTGTGTCTTTCAGATCAGATGGCAAAAATCAAGCAAAAGTTTCTAGACCTCCAGTGAGTGTTCCTCGACACGTTTCTCCAGTGACTCCTCCCAGAGAAGTTGTAAGTTTGAAAGAAACATTCTTTTTCTTTATATTTTGGGATTATCTTTTTAATGATTGAAATGGTTGTATGAGTTCAAATAATTGTTCTTTAGCTATGGAAGTCAGCATAGATCATTTCATATGAGTGAGGTCTCAAAGTAAGTTAAAGGAATGCTAATAGCATTGAAGTCTCAGAGAAGACGTCTGAATATTAACAATTGTGACTTCTCTAAGATATGTTACCAACGACTTATCTGAGCTCCTAGAATAGGCTTAATTGTCTCAACAATGCGAGTAGTAACCACTGTTCCCCTAAATATACTATAGTGTCTAAATATAATATAATGTATTGGGTTAATGTATGCATACAACCCTGAGAAATATGCAGTGTTACTTTATCTGTTCCTAAACTTTGTATGTTTTGTTTGCTGTTTTAGGTGTATCTGCAACTGCTATTTAGCATTACTCTGTGATTTATCCCTATGAACACATGTAACTTTCATTCATTATACTTTCACTGTTGATATTATAACAGGTCCTTGCATGGCATTGTTTTGTTTACCATTGTTTTATTGAAGCTAAACAAAGCCATGTTATTTGAGGACCTGTTTTTGCTTTTCATTATTTTGCTTAAAGCCACAGCGTCTAAGAACATATCAATGCAATGAGGATTTACTATACTCAAATATCACTCAATATTAAAATACACTTTCCTATTACCAGATTACAAATTTTCATTACTGTGAACAAGGCTGAACTGAACTTTCTTTATATGCCTAAGATCTTATTTATGTGTCAGTTCTAGGACTGTCCATCTAATATGGTTATTGTTCATGTGGCAATTAAAATTTCCTTTCAGATTAAATAGTTGATAAAATTAACAATTGCATTCCTGAGTCATCTTTTAAATGATCCAATAGATCATATGTGACCGCTGCTACTGTATCAAACAGCATTGATAAAGAACATTTCTACCACTGAAGAAAATTCTTCAGTAGAGGTCACTGATCGGGGACATATAAGAATTAAATTATGGGCTGAAAGATATGTGAATATTTACTGGAAATTTCCAGAAAGTGTATGAACGTTTTTGTTGCTCTGCATTTTTGTAAACACTTAGTATTGCAAGGTTTTTAAAGTCTTTCTGGTTATATGAAGGTAAAATAATTAGCTATCCTTCATGATTAATGATAATGATCATCTTTTTATCTACCTGTTGACCATGTAGATGTCTTCTTTGGAAAAATGTTTAATCTAATCCTCTGCCAATTTTTTTTTTTAAAGATTTATTTATTTATTCATACAGAACTGGGGTACAGGCCAGAGATGCAGAGGGTGAGAGGATTCACCAGGGACAGAGTGGGGAGCAGAACAGGCAGATTGATGAAATACGCTGCTGAGGGGAGCAGCGGGCAGGTCAAGAGAGGTCTGCCATGCCATGTGGGTCAGCTCCGGGGCAGGCGGGGATTGAACTTATGTGGAAGTGGCTTAAGTTTCTTAGTGCAATGCTTTAACCCGTTGCGCCACCAGGGAGGGCCCTCCTCTGCCAATTTTTAATTGAAAATTTTTTTCTTGATTTAAATAAATTCTTATAATATTTTAGATATTAAAGCCTAATCAGCTATATGATATGCAAATATTATTTCTCCTTTGGTAGGTTTCATTTCCATTTTTGTTGATGATATTCTTCACTGTGATGGAGCTTTTGAGATGGACATAGAAGCATGTGCTTACTTTTGGTTTTATTGCCTTTGTATTGCTAGATCTAGAATATTATCACCAATATCTCACATCCAGGAGCTTACCTATCGGTTGTCTTCTTAGAGTTTTTGGTCTCTAATCATATATTTCAGTCTTTAGTCTGATTTTGAGTTAACTTTTCTGTATGGTGTAAGGTACATAAAGTAGTCCAGTTTCATTATTTTACATATTAATACACAGTAATTCCAGCATCATTTATTGAAGACATAGTCCTTTTCCATTGTAAATTGTAAGTTAATTGACCATATATGTATCAGTTTACTCCTGGGCACTCTATTCTGTTCCGTTGACCCAAGTATCTGATTTTGTGCCAGTTTCATATTGTTTTAAACACTACAGCTTTGCAATATAGTTTGAAATCAGGAATCATAATGCTTCCTGATGTTGTTTTTTTTTTTTTCCTGTCAGCTTTCCTTGTCTATTTGGAATCTTTTATTTTTATAAATTTATCTACTTTAGGTACAAATAGAATTATACCATATTTGTTCTTTTGTATCTAACATCATTTCTCCAAAGTAATCCCTAAGTTAGCATTTATGAGCCTATTTCATTGTATACAGCTTGGCTTCTTCATTATAGATTAAATGTCCATACAGGTGTAAATTTATTTCTGAACTCTCAGTTCTATTCCTTTGGTCTGTGTTTCAGTTTCTGTTATAGTTCCAAGATGTTTCAATTTTTAGAACATTGTAGAATAGTTTTAAGCCTGAAAGTGTGATTCTGCCATTATTATCCTTTTTTATCAGGATTGCTTTGGCTATTTGGGATCTTTTGTGGTTCCATGTGAATTACAGTAATGTTTGTTTTGTTTTTTGAACAATGCCATTGAAACTATGTTAAGGATTTATATTGCTTTGTGTAGGGTGGCCATTCTTACAATGTTAATTCTTTCCATCCATGAACAGGAATTAGCTTTTTGTATTTCCTTGTGTCTTCTGTTTCTTTTAACAATGTCTTACAGTTTTCATTGTTTAGTCCTTCACATTCTTTGCTACATTTGCTCCCAGGGATTTTTTTTTTTGTATACTTGTAAATCGGGTGGTTTTCTTCATTTCTTCTTCTTGCTCTTTGATTGCATATAGGTAGGCAACTGATTTTTGTACATTGATTTTGTAACCTATCATTTGTTAAACTGATTTATTGTCTCAATTAGGTTTCTCTTGGAGTTTTTCTATGTATATTATTATGTTATCTCCAAATAACGATAGCTTTACTCCTCAATTTGATTTCCTTTTACATCCTTTTCTTGCCTAATTGCTCTACCTAGTACTTCTAATAGTATGTTAAATCATACTGCAGATAGTGGACATCCTTGTCTTGTACCAGATCTCAATGGAAAATTTTAAGTTTTTACAACTTGTTATGATATTAGCTGTGAATTTGTCACATGTGTTCTTTATTATGTGTGGTAGGTTCCATTTATCTGTATTTTTTTTCAGGGTTTTTATTATAAATAGATGTTTAATCTTACCAAGTGCTTTTGCGGCATGTATTGATATAGTCATCTGATCTTATCTTTCCTTTCATCTATGTGGCAAATTATATTGATTTTCAGATGTAAAACCATCCTTGTTTCCCTGGAATAAATTCCACCTGGACATAATGTATGATCCTTTTACTGCATTAATGAATTTGTTTGCTAAGAATTTGTTTTAAAATCTCTGTTCATCAGAGGAATTGTTCTGTAGTTCTCTTTGTCTGGTTTTGGCATCAGGGTAATGTTGACCTCATAAAATATGTTTGAAGTTCTCTCTCAGTTTTCAGGAAAGGAATAGACATTAGCTCATATTTGGAGGTTTGTTAGATCTCACTAGTGAAATCATCTGGTCCTGGACTTTTGTTTTTTGGAAGATTGTGATTACTGTTTCAATTTCTTAAGCAAAATATCTTAAATGTCAGCATTAAAAGTAAGTCATCTATTCACTGAATTTAAGTATATATATATTTTTAATATGGAAAATAACAAGTTGTTTAGAAAATATGTTTATGAGTATACTATGGTAATAACTTTTTTTCTTTTTAGCCTATATATGCAAACAGATTTCCAGTACCAAACTATGCAGCCAAACAGTCTCAGCAGTTTCCATCAAGGTCTGATATGAATTTTCTTAATTTACTTGACTACAATCAAATTCAGAGTTAATTAATATATAGATTTTTTTTGTATTTTGATTTAATTCATGGCATGGTATTTATTGCCCACAGTTTAGATAGAATGAAATTTCCAGAAGAACTTTTAAAATGTGCTATTTAAATTTTTTCATATTAATACAGTGTTAAAATGAATTTTTTAAAAAAAGGGTCTGAGTAAGACAAATCAACTCTTGCTGTTGCCTTTGGTGTACTTAAATGTGGAAACAAGAGCCATTAAACTACCACACAACAGGAAACCAATGAGTTTGGATCAGCATTTCTATTAACAATAGCCGGAGAAGCTAGACAATGTAAGAGAATATGTATTTGAAGGCACTACTTTGAATGTGAGGAACTATGTGGTTATGGTCCAGGAGAGGAAGACAGTCTGGAGGTGATCCCAACAGTTGGTACCTTTTTCTGTCCTATGTGTGTCTAATTTCTCAGAGTCAGAGGTAAGAGGCTAGGAAACTGAAGATAGCTATTAACAAACTCAAAGGGCAAAGGGAACAAAAGTGGAAAGCTTTTCTAAGGTAGAAAGTACTTTGGCAAATGTCAGAGGTTTTGGCTGGGACCTGTGGGGTGAGAATGAAGTGTATCCTCAACTTATATCTACAAGTATTTTTTATGTTCAGCCTCCATCAAAATAGCCAGATACTACTAGAAAAGAAAATATGACTAGAACTAAGAAAAGCAATAAAACATACAAATGAACTCAGAGGACATTTGGCTAATAGCTTCATGAGACAGGGCCTTTAAAATAATTCTGATGATTATAATATTGGAATTAATCATCAAAATCATGAATTTCAGTGAAGAACTAGAAATTTGAAAAAAAAAGAAAATGTGAAATCTAGAAACTGAAATTAAAGATTTGATGAACTTAAGATGAGCAAGAAGGGAGGAAATTTATTACTATATTTTTAGCATATATTATACATTCTTACTTCTACCTTCCCTAGTCCTTTACACTACACTGAGGAATATCGTTATGTAAAATCTTTATTATGCAAAAAGGATATATTAAAATCCAACTGACTATTAGGAGAAGGATATATAAGTTATTAAATAGATTTTCACCAGATAATGTTTTAGTGTATTATTGGGTAGAGGTACCATTGAATTGAATGAAGAGGGTTGAGGAAGGATTCCACAGGTTAAAATATGAGGATTGGGAAGAATAGATAAAGTAGTCATAGTTTTATTTTCATGGTGGATATTATGTTTAAGGAATTTAGAATTTCAGTTTTATGTATGTAAACATCTAGTTTATATTTAGTAATTTGTTGCCATTAAATCTTAATAGCATAGGAAAGTGCTTAATTTACTTAATGTACTTAGTTGTCTTTTATAATTTTTCTTTTAAATTTTACGTGCTATTCTCTTTAAAAATATGTAAACAGAATCTTCATATACCATTGTTGATTATTCAGTAGCATCAATTAAAGGTAGTTATTTCATTTTAGACTCTGGAGCCTTTCATTGCATATAGATTAATAGTAATCAAGGTATTTTGTACCCTTAAGAATTATCATTCATTTTAAGGATGGTGTTATATTGGACATATAATGAATGTAGCATTATCTCATAAACACGCGATTGACTTTTTCTTTATTTTCCCCTGACAGGCCTCCTCCACCTCAACCGAAAGTATCACCACAGGGAAATTTAATTCCTGCTCGTCCTGCTCCTGCGCCTCCTTTATATAGCTCCCTTACTTGATCTTTTTTTTTTTTTTAACTTTTCTTTTGCAGATATCTTCAGGGAACTGAGTGAATTTTTATTTTCCTGATATTTTCTTGAACAGCCTTTTTTCCTGCTGCAACTATGAATGGAAAGTAATTACCACAAAGTTTACTAACACAGGAAAACAGAAATTGAGTGGTAGGAATTGAGGAATATAAGAAATGAAGTAAAACCAGGGAATTTAGAATAACATTTCCACTTCTATCATTGAATAAATTTTTTTCCGTCATCTGTGAGGTTAATATACTTGATATGGATTGTTATTTTGATTCTCTGATTCACTCTTGATTTAAGTTTGTCATTGTGTATTTCAGTATAATTCTGAATTTTGATCTTAGTTAATATTAATGTAGTTTCTGGTTGAACATGTGGTAATCTAATTTCTATGAATGCTGAATAATTAGCTACCAATAACATTTCATGTTTTTCATCTTTGCAGACACTAATAATCAATATACACTAGAATCTTGTCTATCTCACTTAAAACATGAGTAAGGAATATTCTATCTTCAGGAGAATGCAAAAAACCCACAATTAAAATATATATTATTTGAAATTACAGACTACACCAAAAGTGTATAGGTGGGTATTCACACACAGTTAATATTTTCCATTTTTATGAACATTCTATGGGTAAATGGTTTATAGATTCTACAGTAATAGAATCTATGGATCTATCTATGGATAATGAATATTAGATAATTAATTTAATAGTAGAATTTCTATTTTGAATCATGTTAAAGCATGGCATCCTTTTACAATAGCATTATTTTAAATAAATTATAAACCTTAAGGTACGAAATATTTAATAGAGCTAATTAGATATCCTGTTGAATCATGGTATAATAAAGCAGGAGCAATTATAATATCATCAGTCAATTGAGCTGTCATAAACCACTTGAGAATTTTATGAGCACTTTATGTTTAAAATCTGAATTTTCGAAGCTTGCTATTAATATACTTTAGAATGTTTACATTTACTAAGGTGTGCTGGATCATGTCTCTATTGATACTAACATTTTCAAAGAAATTGGGCCGGAGAAAGGAAGAAAAAATTCTTAGATAAGTACAAAAAAGTTTGTGTGGTGTCTATGAGTTATCACCCCAGTTTTGTTAAAAATTGAATTTTTACTAAGGAAGAAATGGAATGAATGGTAAAATTTTAAACACCTACAATTTTTTCATAACCTTTCATAATAAAGTTTAATAATAAGTTTTATTAATTGAATTTCATTCGTTTTTCAAAAATTTTGGTTTGTGTATATATAAATAAACAAATATAACACATTTATAATTAATAAAATACTTGAAATTCTGTTTTGTGTCATCCAGTAAATTCCTAAATATTCAACTGTTTACTACATTATTAATTAAGCATTATACTTTTAGATGAAGTATGAATCAGACTTTCATATGAACAGTTGAAGTTTTCAGACTTCTGCTAAATTGTGCACAATGACCTTTGTTATAGTTTTGAATAAAGCTGATATTTTAATTCTCTGAAGCTTCGACATTATTTTAGCAACCAGGTATATATTTAAAAACCACAAACAATTCTAAATTGAACATTCTTCATTTCGATTTTAAATTTCTGAATGAATTCATATTGTTCTAAAATATTTGTCTTTCATTTATGTACTCACATTTGTAATTGTAATTCATTTTACTGAAATTTTATAGTTGTGAAGTACAGCTATGTAATTAATCTCAGAATTAGGAGATTTCTTGATTCTTTAGAAAATTTATATGTTCTCATACTTTATATACATTTCATTTAGATTTCTTTGATTTATTTTGGATTGCTATTAAAAATTATAGAATTTCTTGGTCATAGAGTCACTTTAAATGTGAACATATACAAAGATTAAGTCCTAATGATGTTTTAATAATCAAAGACAAATTACATATAACTTTGTTGTCCACAAACTTATCTTATTTAGGATACTGCATTTTCCCTTCCTTTCAAGCAGGCGCCTGGATCTCTACCCACATAGTTAAGCACAGTCCAGGTTTTCTAAGCACAGATCAAAATTTGTTAATTCTGTAAATGTTTACTGAAATATGCCATACAGTGGGTATTATGGTAGGTACTGTGATATGTCTTCTGCATGGGACATGCCTACTGTTGTGGAAAGAACTATATATACACGTAATAATACACATTTACTCCATTAAAGATATAAACAAGGAAAGTTGAAGAGAGGAATATAAGAAGTACATGAACAAGAAGTTCAGTCAAAATACTTATAAGTAGGTTGACTATAGTTCTTCTATGCAGTGAAACAAGATGAAATCAGTTTTGGCTTAAGTACTGCTTTCCTGCAGAGTTAAGTCTTGGATTGAAATATAAGGTCGGTGCCTATATTTGTTGTCTTGGCTTTTGTGCATGTATATAATTTCAGATTGCCCTATTGAAAGCCTTGGATTTCAGCTGATTCCCCAATGCAACTTATGTCTTCCCAAGGTGCTTTTTAGTATATACTTTTTTGTTAATTATTATGAGAGATTAATTCATTCTTTGGAATTTGAAGAGTTAAAAGTGCCTGTGGATGGAAGTGGGGAATGAGGCTGGGAGGAAGGAGGCATTGCAGTGTCAGGGAATAAAGGCAGTGTGCTCATTCAGGAAAGTCAGAGTGACCAAAGAATTTGGGAGTAGGCGATAGCCTGGCTCCAAATTTAGAAATTTTTAAGTACTGTGCTGAGAAATCTGGAACATACATCATTATATAGACATTATAATCTTGTCCACCTCCTTATATAGACGAATATTCACTGTTCTGAGATGTTACTGTACAAGAGAATGACTTCACAGGATTTAGCCAAATGTGTGGGGAGAACCACATTGAGTGGAGGACAAAAGTGCACATAGCCTGGTTTTAAAGTGCAGTGTAGTGGGAATGGGGAGAACAACATAGACAGTGTCCAACAGTACCAACACCTACTTCTCCCTTTCTTGAAATCTTTACACATCTGGTTATCTGGCTAGACTTCGTAAGGAAACAAACAAACAGGCCCTCCCCGCTGGCACCGCGGGTTAAAGCACAGCACTAAGCTAAAGCCACTTCGGCATGAGTTCGATTGGCATGAGTTCGATTTCCGCCTGCCCCGGAGGAGATCCACATGGCGAGGCAGACCTCTCCTGACCGGTCCGCTGCTCCCCTCAGCAGTGTACTTCGTCAATCTGCCTGTTCTGCTTCCCTCTCTGTCTCTGGTGAATCCTCTCACCCTCCACATCTCTGACCTGTACCCCAGTTCCATACGAATAAATAAATAAATCTTAAAAAAAAACCAAAACCTTAGAAACACAGCTTTAGCAAATACAAATATGTAAATTTATGTGTGTGCGTAGTTTTTACTCCAGAAAACACTATTAACAAAGTGCATTGTAAGTACTGTTACAAAAGTATTGTAAGTACTTAGAATACTTGAAGCCAAAGACTTGTCGGTGACAAAACCCACTACGGAGGGGGCTGGAAGACTGGCTAACTCCACACGAACTATGGCGGCAGGGAGTATGCAGGTTTCAGACTGCGGCTTGCTGTTTTCCTGGCCAACACGAAACTGCAGGTAACCTGCACCCACACTGCAGGAGCTGGTCGTCCGCAGGTGCAGCGGCTTCTCGAAGCTCCGCCCCCGAGCGCGCTGGGGGCGGTCCCCGGAATCTGGTCCTTCAGGCCTCGCTGGTGGGAGGTGACGCCGGCGCGAACCCGCCCAACGGCTCTCGCCTCTTTACTCGCTAGGAGCCGAGAAGCCACACCATGTTCCCCCTAATGATGCTGCTTGCGGGGCTCGCTGGCTTGCTTACGTCAGGACTCGGTAAGACTGGCGACTGAGTCCCTGCTGGGGCGGAGGAATGGCTTTCCTTTTATTGTTTCTCTTGCTTTCAAGACCTCCCTGCTTGTGTCAAAAGGGGGCTCAATTCCGTGCAAAATCCGGGTCGGTCTTTTTGGTGCCTTTTGCCCTGTCAACCTGGAAGCCTGGCTGTTTGGCCTGGGGAAGTGACTTGAAAGGGTGAGATAGCCCAAGGACAGCCATCTTACTCTCTGAGTCTGGGTTTGGGGCAGCTTTTCTTCTATTTCACAAAACTCCCTCCGACATTTCTTGCAGTTGTCCCCCCCCCCCAAACTTCTTCCAGCAACTTCTTGAATTCTGTTCACATTCCCTAGACCTGACTTTACTTAGCTATCCTTTGCTCCAGCATATCTTGTTCTGCATACAGTCATAATTTGACAGCAATACAAAACAATTTGCTCACATTAACGAAAGTGCTTAAAAATTTACAGGTATCAGTGGCGGTTTAGAAGCAAGTAGCATTTTGAGTTCTGTTATTTTTCCGATGCATGGTTCTGAATCTTGCACATCCTTCTCCCATCTCCTTAAGCATTGTATTCCATTATTTGAGATATCACAGTCTACTCTGACACTTCTCTTATTGTCTTTGTGTTATTTCTGATCCTTCTGCGATTTCATGCTGTTTTAGTGAACTGCTTATACACGACCAGTCTTCATACCATAGGCTGGGTAACTTAAATTACAGAAATTTATGTTCTCAGTTCTGGAGTCCGAAGTGGAAGATTAGGGTGCCATCATGGTGGGGTTCTGGTTAGAGCTCTCCTCCTGGTTAGTAGGCTGTTGTGCATCCTTGGCGTGTGCGCACATGGAACTCTGTAGGTATATTTTGGGAAGGGGAGGCATTCACGGAAACTCAGGTGTTTCTTATAAGGACACCAATCCCATCCTGAGAACTCCACTTTCATGACCCTATCAACCCTAGTGACCTCTGTCAGCCGAATCACTGCTGTGTAACAATTCAGAGATAATGATTAGATATGCCTTTTGCAAATATTTTCCCACTGTAGTTTGTCTTTTCATTCTCTTGATGTGTTTTGCAGAGCAGAAGTTTTAAATTTTATTGAAAATCAGTCTATCAGCTTATCAGTAAATTTGTTTTATGCATTCTATCTTTGGCACTGTATTTAAAAGTCATCTGAGGTTATTGTTATGATCTAGATTTAAAATTTTGTATTTTACATTGAGATCTATAAACCATTTTTTATTTTTATGACATTTTAAAGTTTGTGTCGAGATTCGTTTTTTAAAAAATGTGGATAGCCAAACCTAGCACTATTTGTTGATAAGACTATCTTTGTGCTATTGTATTGATTTTGCTCCTTTGTCAAAGACCAGCTGACTAGATTTATGTTTACCTTTATCTGGGCTCTTTGGTTC